CACGTTGTAAAATTCGCTTGAAGTGCTCATGGCTGGGGCCTCGGGCATGGTCGGCTGTTGCCCCAGGGGCTGGGAAAGTCCTGCTTCAAGCACCGCACTTAGCCCTCCTCAAAAGACCCGCCAATAAGGTAATACAGCGCAGGGAGAGGTCTGTTTGCAGGGAACAGGGGGCCCACACCAAGAGCCAGGAGGAGCTGGCTGCCCGTTGAGTCCAGTGGCGTGGCAGCCTTAAGCAGGCAGCTGCCCATTTTGAGGCGAAGCCGCTCGCCCTTGAAGCACAGGAGAGAACAGAGGAAGGAAAAAGAGAGACGTCCTGGCCTACGGCCTGTTCTCCCCTGCGGAAAGACCTGCAACTTCTGCAGACAGGTCTGTGGCTCAAGGACTGGGCTCTGAAGTCACCTCAAGACCCCTGGGCATCTAGTGCCACCTAAGTCGGGGGTGGGGGCACATGCCCCCCCCAGTGACCAGTCAGCGGCCACTCTCGCTGACCAGGCAGGGGCCACCCTGCGGCCAATCTCACCGACGGCACCCCCACTCCCCAGCCAGCACTCACAGGGGGAGCACCCGTGCTCCCGCCTGCCCTCCTTGCCTGTTGCGTGAAGGGCAAGCAGGGCTGGTCAGGGGGGCGGGCCATGCTTTGCCACTGTCAAGACCTGTTAATGAGCTGGAGTAGAGACTGTCCTAAATGGAGGGATTGCGGACAAGTAAACAGGGATGGACATTTAATCTGCATAGAAAGGATGTGGATTTGTTGTAACCTGCCAAGGGCTGGGTATGTCTGACACTTCACAGGGTACCTTTTGCTTTTCGCTGCCGATGAATAAATTAGATCGTGGCATTCCTCCTCAATGTCCACAAGGTCTCAGAGATGCTGTGAAAAAAGAGCAAAAGGAAAGTGGGGAAGAAAATGGATTTGTAAAAAGGAGATATGGTTTTAACACCCTCCCCCCTGCAATAATCGCCAGACATCTCTATTTTTCTACTCTTCTTCTTTCAGGAATCAGGATTTTCTCACTGATCTGATGAGAACTGTGTGGAAATGTCTCTGGATGCGGAGATCACTGGATGCCATCCCATCCATCGTAGGTACAGTTCCAACCATGTTCCTTCCATTAGAGTCTGGTCCCATGCCAGCCCTGGGATTATCAAAGCCTGGGGTGTGGGCAAGGTGGATTTAACCACCTGTACAAACCAGCATATCCTGGCTGTACTGACCAGCACTGCCAGGATGGAGAAAGGTAGCGTAAGTGATGTTGTAGCCATGATGGTCCAGATGCGAGAGGCAAAGTTTTCTTAGAGCGATATCTTTTCTTGGACCAGCTGTGTAGTTGGGATAAAGTTAGACAAGCTTCCCCATGTAAGACATTCTTCCTCAGGTTTCTGAATCTAGGAAGCCGGGCACAGCAAGTTATGCACTGCCTAGCGGAGGGTCTGAGAGAAATTCGCAGGCGCAGCCAACATACAGTTAGGAAAAGGAAGGAGAAAGACACAGTCTCAAGTCTAGAAGGCAGGGTAGATTTGCCCCCAGTAGCGTGTGCACACAAGTTTTCCTGAGCTGAAGCTCACTTCATGAATGCTGACTGGAGACAGCTGCATGCAGCCTGTCCCTAACGCAGGGTTGTCAGCTGGGGGTACATGTACCCCTGGGAGTAATTGAGAAGTCCCTAGGGGGTACATGCAGGCAAGTGGGGATGGAGCGCTGCCACCCACCACCTCATGCTGCCACACAGGCTCCACCTACCCAGCTGAACACCGAGGGCAGGGAAAGCTGCCATGCACTACCTCCTGCCCCACTTCACGTCCAGCATTGCCCCGTGTGTGCTGGGGCCGGGTGGCCCCCTCTTGGGCTGTATGTGCTCTGCGTGTCTGGGCGGGCGGCAGGTGCGCACTGCGCTGTGCACAGACAGCCGGGGGCCGTGAGTGCCAGCTGTTTGAGGTGGAAAGGGAAGGGCGGGGAGGGGAGAGTGGGGAGGTGCAGGGAGGGGCCCAGCCCCTTGTTCCACGAGCTCCACTAGCTCATTCCTCCCGGGGAGCAGTGCCAGGAGCAGCGGCTGCCCTGCGCTTGCCACCCCTCTCCCCCCCGGGGTACACGTATTAAAAAGGAGGCCGCCAGGGGTACACTTATTAAAAAAGGTTGAAAATCCCTGCCATAAGGCACAGCCTGATGGAACCTGTTTCCTTCAGGAGGAACAACCAGCCTCAGGTCTGATCTCTTTCCCCACACCACACCCAGCCTCTCCCACAGGGCCAGCTCAGTGCAAAGGGCCACACTGCCAGGGTTTGAATTATGGGAGAGCTTGGGGGGGCTAAGCCCCCCCATAAGAGACCCCCCCCGCAACAGCCCGGAGCCCAACCCACCTTGTGCTTTTCTCAGCAGCCCCTTCCGGCTGCCACTGCTGTTGGGGATCCAGGTGCACACCTTGACCCCAGTTAGGTTTTTTCTGCAGAATCCCCGCCGCGCGCCCCCCCCCACCCGTGTGCCACACACTGCAGCATAAATGACTGGTACCTCCGGGGGGGGGGCGCACAATTTGTGGGCGGCAGTGTTGGCGGCATGGTGGTGAGCAGTGACCACCTGCAGAAGCCAGCTGGGAGAGAGGGGTTATGAGTGGCGATTGTCGAATGTCCACAGAAGCCAGCAGTGGCAAGATGAGACCACCCGCAGAAGTTGGCGGCAGTGAGCAGTGATCAGCAACTGCCCGCAGAAGCCAGCGGCGGTGTCAGCCAATCTTGGGGGCATGTGCCTCCCCACCTGTGCACGGGAGGAGACCCTGCTGGATTAGAAATGCCCTGTATTTATGATCTTTGGGGCCCCGGAGAGGTGGTGCCAGCATTGGCAGGTTTTAAATATGAAATTATTGTATTGGAACTCAAAATTACCGTATTTTCTGGAAAAAAAAACCTATCATACACTGAAAACGCATGCAAATAAGTCTTCTTCTGTACTTTATGTTGATCACTGTAAGTCCCCAGTCTGCGAGCAAGAACCGTGGAAGTGGAAGCATTTCTTTATTTCAAGAGGCGCAGTCGTTAGGAGGTGCTGACAGCCAGCCCAAAACCGGATTAAGATTCTCCGAGTGACTTGGGTTTTGCATTCGCTGCATCAATGACCTGCCTCAAAAGTCATCATACGTTTTAAACACTTTTACTATTATTGACCCCGCGTTGTACGAGGGCTGGAACGATCTTACAGACACCATGGCTGTCGTACCCCGGCAAGGCTGGGCAGTGCCCGGGCTGGGGCTGCCGCCAGCCGGGCGCCCCGGACACAAGAGCACGCGCGCCCCAGCTCCGGGCCCAGCCCTGCGCCCTAGTGCGCGTGCGCCGCTGGCCGGAGCTGGCGCGGGGACCCCGAGCACCGGCGGGGACCACCCC